CCTTCCGCCTTCCACACAGCGCCTGCCACACTACATGCACACACAGAGTCCAGAGAGCAGTCGTAAATCAGTGCATAGTGTGTCGCTATGAGGCAGGCCTAATTGCGGCCGCACTGATCGCTGACTTTCACTAATTACTGGATAAGTTTGTTGCCAGTAATTACGCAACTGAGCAACAAATTGCGCTTAAATGGGCAGTACGTTGCCTCGATGTATGTGTGAAAAACATGAGCTACAGTCAGCGCATGATGATGTAACAGTAAAGTGATATGAAGGTGATAGATGTTTTATTATATACATGTATTCGTCCGGCTATTATGTACGCACAACACACGCACGCCACGCACGCACGCACACACACGCGCACGCACAACACACACACACACACCACACACACACACACACACACACACACACACACACACACATGCACACACACGCACACACTTATATATATATATATTATAATATATATATATATATATATATATATATATATATACTATATACATATATACAATTTGTAATGCTATCAGGAAGTGATTTAAGTTACGCGCAATAGGGTATGGTTAGCATATGATATTATAATTGTGCCCACGGATGACGATATTTGAAACTTTTTATTTCTCTTTATAGCCTAGTTGTTATTTCGTAATTCACGCGCGATTCAAAGGAAGTAGGGTAACCAGGCATTTCGCCGATCTCAGAGCGAGATATTTACGTATTGTATTAACAATGAGTTACAGCGGTATAAATTACGTTGAAGTGAGTAATTCATTCAGCCGATCTCGTTAAATTATTGTTCCAATTATATATCGAGTAAAACGCACCATGTCGTTTATACAATCGAGAGCTAACGGAGCCATCAACAAGCAACGATGTGTCTTGATATTACGCAGTCGGTGTTTGTAGCACACAACACATAGTCATTAATCACCGCGCCTGAGCCGTTAAAGAGATCCACAGAGTGACTGAGTGGTGATCAGTACTTCATCATGTCACGAAACACTGCTTGCTATTCATGGGAAATCACTTAAAATCCGATTTCACCTCGTGGGACTGTTATACATATACGCAGTCGGGGAACTATATTATGTATCTCGCTTCTCCCGCTGTCCTAATTCGTTCAGGATCAGTTGTATGTCTGAGAAGGTGAGGATTTGCGTAAGGTCGTCCAACAGAACTATTAGGCTGGAGAGGAAAAGAGAACTTAAAATGCAGCGAAACGCGATCGGAAATTACAACCGTTTCAACAAGAATATTTATAGCGATTGCAAGTACCATTGCTTCCAAAAATCAAAAGCAACGATGTGTTAATAAGTGAGCGTGTATCTGTCTGTGTATGTGGGGTGGGTAGGTAAGTGAGCGTGTAAGCCTGCGTGGATGCATTTACTAGGACGTGCATGTGGTCGGGGAACGCTATTTGTATGGATTGATGCCTCGCCATGTATTCACCAACTCCCATTAATTAAGTCAACCTATTCTTATCTTATAAAAGACGCCCCGCGGTAAGTGTTGGTTTATAAACTTGTCTTGCTTTGTACGATATTTCATAAGCCATGTGATTATCCTATTCCATGTATGATTGCGTCATCCGAGTTCTCCAGTTTGTACTGCTATCGATATCTTTACTTTCAAATTCAAATTCAAATTCAAATTCAAATAGAGTTCATGTGCACGGATAATCGCAGATCATAGCAGGAAAATACTGAAATAAGGCCTACAAACTACAATAAAACGAAGTTCCTAAGCAAATAGTAATAAAACGAGAGAAACGATGTGTCTACTTAAACTTTGACATGGCAGCACGACAATTGACACAATCTACAGTCATAATACATGATAATAATATTTTTATTAACATAATTTAACGTTCATTTCTAGCCAAAAACAAACTAGTGTAATAAAATCAAACTCCTAAACTACAACGAACGCAGATTCATGTGGAGTAGACTCAGAGCTCTGCGTAGACCTATCGCGCGTAAGTATCGCGTGGTATCGGAAAACTGCAGGCGCCCTGCAGTTCAGATGTAGGACTAGTAAAAGCCGACTGTTGGTCTAAACCTCTCTGTATTTTAAGTGTTTAGTTGGGGATATGTGGTGTGATTTAAATATTATTTGTATATCTCACCATTTATGTTTTGGGTGGATCTTGTCGTAGCCTGAATAATCTTCGATAAACTTTGATAGTTCGAGGAGATCTTTAACAACAGTCAACAACTAACGACTTTAAACTTTAAAATAACTTTGAACAACGTCAGTCCTCTGAACTTAACAGAAGGCCGACGCACTCCGCATTCATACAAAAATTACGATGTATTTCACGCTTGCAACTATTGCATCAGTATGTATGTGTGTTGACTGCAGGACTGACACCATGCAGGGATTGTTATCCCGCTATTCATATAAATTTAACGTTATTCTAGTTATAATATATATATTTTCATGGGTAAATTATTTAAATAAATAAATAAATATATATATATATATATATATACCACACACACGCAGCACATAGCGACTTACCTTTAGCGAATGCCGGGTGTCTCTCTAACAGTGGATGCGGCGGGAACTCACCCGGTCGTGGATAGTGACCGAGTGTGTAGGGAAGTCCTGGCCCGGGGTAGAAGGCCGGGTGCGGGTAGGCGGCAGGGTTCAGGCCCGCCGGTGTCGTGTGCTCAAAGTACGCCGGTTTGTAACCGGGAGCGATCGCGCCGGCGAGTCCGTGCACGTGCGCAGCTATCGTCGTCGGCGTCACCGCCGCGTTGATGGGCGTCGGCCGCGCCGGCGACGACGACAGCTGATGGTTGCCGAGTATGTCGTCGATGAGGAACGACGTGTGGTGTCCGTGCTGCAGCGTACTGGCGTGGTGGTGATACAGAGAGGCCATGCTCACGGGCACCGCGCCCGGCTGGGGACTGTACTGCATGTTCGCTCAGGGTGATCACAAGTTCCACGCGCGTGTCGCAGGGAAGACTTAGTCTTTCGTGAAGGTCTCTGAGACTCTCAAAGAACTCTCTCTCTCTCGAGTAGTGTCTACGATTGTCTCTCCTGTAGTCTCTCTGAAGCTCGGTCTTTCTTCAGCACTGCTGACTTTATGCGCTAGCTGCCTGCGAGGTTCATTCCTAGCGCGTATATAGATAAGCTCTGTTCACTGCTGCACTGCTTACAAACGCGTCCGTACTGCTGCTGCTACGTGCTACCGACTGATCCGGTGCGAGCCTCTTGATATATATCTCATGCAAAACACGAACTAGCGCGCGTTCTAGACACTTCTCACGCGCGTGTCGGCGTCTTCAAAGAACGCCTGCCAAGCTCGTACGGTGGCGTTCGCTTTTCGCATCTACGCGTGTCACCCGTCGTGAACTCGACTGCAGTCGGAAGCTGAACGCTGCCTGCTGCTATACTGCTGCTGCTATACTGCTATACTGCTGCTGCTTGCTACTATACGATACGCACACGCTCGCTCTACTGCCGCCACCGCACGTGTGAGCGCTGGCGTGTTTGCACGCCATGCGAGACTCCGTACAGCGCGCCGCGAGCTCGCACGCTCATCGGCTGACAGATTGGCGGGGCGTGGCGGGGCGTGGCGCTAGCCGTCACGGCTTATCCAGCGCGTAGCGCGGCAGCGTGCGGCCCGCCGAGGGGCCGCTGCCGTGTGCGTAACTCTGCCCGCAGCACGCTCCGCCCCGCCGATTCGCGTCCGACTGTGAAATGCCGAGAGAGGTAATTGCGAGCAGGCGGCGAAGCCGAGCGAGGGCGGCGCGAGCGATGTACGAATATACACGCAGGCGCGCACGCACGCACGTACACGCACGCGCACGCACGTACACGCACGCGCACGCACACGCGTACACACGCACGCGTATATACATATATACAATTTGGTAATGCTATCAGGAAGTGATTAAGTTACGGCAATAGGGTATGGTTAGCATATGATATTATAATTGTGGCCCACGGATGACGATATTTGAAACTTTTTATTTCTCTTTATAGCCTAGTTGTTATTTCGTAATTCCACGCGCGATTCAAAGGAAGTAGGGTAACCAGGCATTTCGCGATCTCAGAGCAAGATATTTACGTATTGTATTAACAATGAGTTACAGCGGATATAATTACGTTGAAGTGAGTAATTCATTCAGCGATCTCGTTAAATTATTGTTCCAATTATATATCGAGTAAAACGCACCATGGTCGTATACAATCGAGGAGCTAACGGAGCCATCAACAAGCAACGATGTGTCTTGATATTACGCAGTCGGTGTTTGTAGCACACAACACATAGTCATTATATCCACGCGCGCCTGAGCGGTTAAAGAGATCCACAGAGTGACTGAGTGGTGATCAGTTACTTCATATGTCACGAAACACTGCTTGCTATTCATGGGAAATCACTTAAATCCGTATTTCACCTCGTGGGACTGTTATACATATAACGAGATCGGGGAACTATATTATGTATCTCGCTCTCCCGCTGTCCTAATTCGTTCAGGATCAGTTGTATGTCTGAGAAGGTGAGGATTTGCGTTAAGTCGTCCAACAGAACTATTAGGCTGGAGAGGAAAAGAGACTTAAAATGTCAGCGAAACGCGATCGAATTACAACCGTTTCACAAGAATATTTATAGCGATTGCAAGTACGATTGCTTCCAAAAATCAAAAGCAACGATGTGTTAATAAGTGAGCGTGTATCTGTCTGTGTATGTGGGTGGGTAGGTAAGTGAGCGTGTAAGCCTGCGTGGATGCATTTACTAGGACGTGCATGTGTGCGGGGGAACGCTATATTGTATGGGATTGATGACCTCGCCATGTATTCACCAACCCATTAATTAAGTCAACCTATTCTTATTTTATAAAAGACGCCCCCGCGTAAGTGTTGGTTTATAAACTTGTCTTGCTTTGTACGATATTTCAATAGCCATGTGATTATCCTATTCCATGTATGAATTGCGTTCATCCGAGTTCTCCAGTTTGTACTGCTATCGATATCTTTACTTTCAAATTCAAATTCAAATTCAAATTCAAATAGAGTTCATTGCACGGATAATCGCAGATCATACAGGAAAATACTGAAATAGGCTACAAACTACAATAAAACAAGTTCCTAAGCAAATAGTAATAAAAACGAGAGAAACGATGTGTCTACTTAAACTTTGACATGGCAGCACGACAATTGACACAATCTTACATCATAATACATGATAATATATATTTTTATTTAACATAATTTAACGTTCATTTCTAGCCAAAAACAAACTAGTGTAATAAAATTCAAACTCCTAAACTACACCGAACGAGATTCATGTGAGTAGACTCAGAGCTCTGGTAGACTATCGCGGTAAGTATCGCGTGGTATCGGAAACTGCAGGCGCCCTGAGTTCAGATGTAGGACTAGTAAAGCCCGACTGTTGGTCTAAACCTCTCTGTATTTTAAGTTTTAGTTGGGATATGTGGTGTGATTTAATTTATTATTTGTATATCTCACCATTTATGTTTTGGGTGGATCTTGTCGTAGCTTGAATAAATCTTCGATAAACTTTGATAGTTCGAGGAGATCTTTAACAACGTCAACAACTAAACGACTTTAAACTTTAAATAACTTGAACAACGTCAGTCCTCTGAACTGAACAGCAAGCCGACGCACTCCGCATTACAATAAATTACGATGTATTTCACGCTGCAACCATGCATCAGTATGTATGTGTGTTGACTGCAGGACTGACACCATGCAGGGATTGTTATCCCGCTATTCATATAAATTTAACGTTATTCTAGTTATAATATATATATTTTCATGGGTAAATTATTTAAATAAATAAATAAATATATATATATATACCACACACACGCAGCCACATAGCAGACTTACCTTTAGCGAATGCCGGGTGTCTCTCTAACAGTGGATGCGGCGGAACTCACCCGGTCGTGGATAGTGACCGAGTGTGTAGGGAAGTCCTGCCCGGGGTTAGAAGGCCGGGTGCCGCGGTAAGCGGCAGGGTTCATGCCGCCGCCGTGTCGTGTGCTCAAAGTACGCCGGTTTGTAACGGGAGCGATCGCGCCGGCGAGTCCGTGCACGTGCGCAGCTATCGTCCGTCGGCGTCACCGCCGCGTTGATGGGCGTCGGCCGCGCCGCGACGACGACAGCTGATGGTTGCCGAGTAGTGTCGTCGATGAGGAACGACTGTGGTGTCCGTGCTGCAGCGTACTGGCGTGTGGTGATACAGAGGAGGCCATTGCTCACGGGCACCGCCGCCGGCTGGGGACTGTACGTGCATGTTCGTCTTCCAGGGTGATCACAAGTTCCACGCCTGCGTGTGCGCCGGAGACTTAGCTCTTTCGTAATGTCTCTGAGACTCTCAAAGAACTCTCTCTCTCTCGAGTAGTGTCTAACGATTGTCTCATCCGATAGTCCTCTCTGAAGCTCGGTCTTTTTTCTTTCAGCACTGCTGACGTTTATAAGCGCGTAGCTTGCCGCTGCGAGCGTTCATCTCCTATCGCCGTTATATAGATAAGCTTCTGTTCACTGCTGCCATGCTTACAAACGCGTCCGTACTCAGCTGCCTCGCCTACGTGCTAGCGAACTGATCCGGTGCGAGCCTTCTGATATATATCTCATGCACAAACCACGAACTAGCGCGCGCCCCCCTTCTAGACACTTCTCACGCCGCGTGTCGCGCGTCTTCAAAGAACGCCTCTGCAGCTCGTACGGTGGCGCTTCGCTTTTCGCAATCTACGCGTGTCACCGTCGCGGTGAACTCGACTGCCAGTCGGAAGCTGAACGCTGCCTGCTGCTTTATACTGCTGCTGCCTATACTGCTCTATACTGCTATGCCTTGCTACCTATAGCGTACGCACACGCTCGCCTCTACTGCCGCCACCGCACGTGTGGAGCGCTGGCCCGTGTTTGCAACGCCATGCGGAGACTCCGTACAGCGCGCGCCGGAGCTCGACACGCTCATCGGCTGACATATCTGGCGGGACCGTGGCGGGGCGTGGCGCTAGCGTCACGGCTTATCCAGCGCGCTAGCCGGCCAGGTGCCGGCCCGCGCGGGCCGCTGCCGTGTGCGCGTAGAACTCTGCCCGCCAGCACGCCTCCGCCGCCGCATTCGCGTCACGACTGCTGAAATGCCCGAGAGAGCGTAATTGCCGAGGCAGGCGGCGAAGCCGACGGGCGTCGCGGCGAGCGATGTACGAATATACACGCAAGTTCGCGCGCACCGCACGACGACCGTAACACGCACGCGCACGCACCGTAACAACGCACGCGCACGCACACGCGTTACACCACGCACGCGCAATGACACACACACACACACACACCACGCCGCGCGCGCACACCACGCCACACAGCACGCGCTACGGACACGCGCACGCACACAACACGCACACACATGCACGTATACACACACCACACACACACACACAACACACACAACACACACAGCACACACACGACTACATACATACATACGGCACTACACACACACACAATACTTAA